AGTCCCGCATCGGGCTCCCTGCTCAGCAGGGAGTCTGCTTCTCCCTCTGACCCTACCCCTCTCATGTTCTCTCTCTCTCCCAAATAAGTAAGTAAAAAATCTTTAAAAAAAAAACCATTCTGCACCAATCCTCATTATGGAACCTTTTCGGTGCTAATGCAAAGTCAATTTAGTAATCCTAGATTAGGGAAAATTGAGGAAAAGTTACTGATATTTAAATAATCCTCGTAGGGGCGCCTGGGTAGCTCAGAACTCTTGATTTCGGCTCAAGTACTTATCTCACAGTTATGAGATCAAGCCCCGTGTCAGGCTCTGCACTGGGCGTGGAGCTTGTTTAAGATTCTCTCTCCCTCTGCACCTCCCCCACCACAAGTGCACATACTCTCTCTCTCAAAAATAAACAATCCTCCCTAAATGAAGGAAACTTAAAGAAAAATTAATTCTATCAATTTTAGTTTTAATGGGGCAAATATGACTTCATCACTGACCTAAAACTGCCCTAAACCCACTGCCAGTCTGCCCCTAACCCACAGAAAGGTTTACATACTATTAGCTTGCAGTAATTCCTTGGACACATTCCCAGCAGAGCCTTGTGACACAGCAGTCACACTCTCGTCGTGTTCAGGAGACATGGGTTCTTGTTTAATCTGAATTGAAGAGTCTGGAGCAGGAACACTGCCGTGAGCTTGGAAAGTAGGAGACGTGGTTACTTGGAGAGGGACTCCAGTGGATGATGGAGACATGTGGGAAGATGGAGGCTCCAGAACAACTGGGAAAAAGGGAGTAGGCAGCAGGGTGGCATCAGCAGATGTCTGAGATCTACTGTTCCTTCGCTCTCGTGGAAGGCTATAAGGAACCTGGTCTGGGCGCTCAGAAGGTTCATATGTTTCTAGAATGGGAAACATACGTATGTACAAATGCAAAAATCTTCTCTGAAAAGTCACTCATTTCAGAGCCAATTTGTATTTTTAAAGATTACAAGAGAATTCCGAAGTCCCTGATAATTCTTCGAAATATGTTGTCATAAAATCTATATGACCAACAAGGACACAGGCAGAACAGGGATTAGTATTCCATTTTTAAATTTTAAGTGACTTATCCAAAGTCATAGAGTTACTAATGGAAGAGCCAAGATTTGAACCCAGGTCTTTTGATTCCGAACCCAAGGCTCTTTCTGTAACATACTGCCCCTGTTGCTAAGCATTTTCGGGGCCTACAGTCTCACAGGCTCTTCTACAGAAGGATGAAAGCAAGGAGACAGGAGGGAAAACATATGACCTCTTCATGATTACTTCAATTCCCCTGTATAGGTAACAAAGAAATAAACAAGCTACAGAGGATCCAATCCATCAGATGCTCTCTGAATACCTTGTAATCCCTGTAGAATCTGTATTCTGTGGGTCCTCAGTGCACTCATCTCCATAGTTATCTAAAAATAAAGTAATTGGTTAAGCATTTTGAAGTCCAACTTTAGAGATGACACGTTCTCATTAAACGTTCTGTCCGCTGTTACCTGCTGCTTCAGCATAAGAAGCCTCTGAACTTCAACATATGCTGTCTGCAGGGCTGCACGGGCTTGCAGAAGGTTGTTATCCATGCACTGCAATGATTTGCTCAGTTCTTCCTCCCTTAAAGAAATATTCAGCAGCTGGTCAACCTGAGAACGTTCTGCCAAGAGAAACCATAAGGCTCAGTTTAATACGGGAGACAATTCTTGATAATACAGCTCCTCAGAAGGTGGAACTACATCAGTTCTCTAGAAGCCTTTATTTTCTCTCCAACAGGGCAACTGGAGACTCATCAAATCTCGCAAATCACTGATGTGTTAAGACTGACGTCAGAGCTAAACGAGAAGTGAGAACTGGTAAGATGGAGGTAGCTCATAGGTACAAGTGTGTCGCCACATGGTCCCATCTTACCTCGTCACCATCTTCCACCACTCCCCTTCCAAGTGAAATCTTTGTCCCAGGCAAAGCAACTGCTGTACATTTCATTTCCCATTCTTCCTTTATCTACCACCCTCTTCACCTATGGTTTTTGCTTAGATTAGGCCTCAGATGTGAATGGCTTGCACTCTCTTCCTAATCTGTATTTTTCTAGTCTCTTAGTTAATATAAAATAGTTCGCTTCGTCAGACAAAAACTTCCTGAAGAAAATATAGCTTCAAAATAGTACATTTAAATTACTTTAAATAAAATGTCCTACCACGTGTATGTATGTTTGTCTCTTTCCCATTCGGTAAGTCAAGATCTCTATCCTAAACTCCAGATCCACATACCCAACTACTACCTTGATATCTTTACTGAGGTATCTCTAAGATCCTTTAACTCAAAGGATCCAAAAAGGAACTCCTCATCTTCCTCTACCCTCAACTTGTTCCTCTCATGGAGTTTTCTAGCTCTACAAATGATACCAACACCCCAAAGATGCCTCAGCCAGAAACTGGGGTCATCCTCGACACTTACCTTATCCATCACATCCAACCACCCCAAGGTTCATCCAATCACTTCCCACACTCGCCCTTACACCAGAAAGGGTTCAGAGTCAGTGGAAAGCAAGAATCACAGAAGTGTATCATGAGGGAGCGACTCTAACAACTTCCCTCAATTCAAGTAAGAGAAGCAACAAAGATACCTCAGAAATGGCAATTGAGAGAAATGGCTATAAAAAACCAACAGAGACAAAATCTTTACTAAATGGCCTATTCCTTTTCATCACTGAAAAGGACCAATGAGACTTTCTGACTTTATACTGAACTCAATTTGTCCAAGATGCATATTAACTTTAGCTTATGGGTCTATGTGGCATCAAACATTTCTTCTATAGCTGCACTGGATATGGTAGAAAAATCAAACTTTTCTATGCCCTTAAGCAAGACAACAAAAATGTCAAAAAATAAGAATAAATGGGGGATCAGTGTTTGATAACCACAAGCAATACTCTGTGTCCAGTTGTAAAAAAGGCTGAATTGCTATAAGAACAATTTCTTTCTGTCAGAATATTTTGCACTATACCTTTCTTTCCTTTAATTTTCCTTCTTTTGTTTTTTCTCTCAAGACTTGGGAGTTCGGGAGAAGATCCATCCTGAGAAGAGAAAGAAAACTGAGTAATATTGAATGTGTAAAGGCCATTACCCAGGAAGGAAAAAACCGAATCAATTCTAAGACCACTGTACATTATTCTTCACTATTGCTGCCATCTCTAACAGGATACTAGGAATCTCATGCACAAGGTATGAACTCAAACATCAATTGAATGTATATGATTAAAAAAATAAAACAGGGGCGCCTGGGTGGCACAGTCAGTTAGGCATCCATCTCTAGGTTTCAGCTCAGGTCATGATCTCAAGTGTCGTGAGATTGAGCCCCGCATCGGGCTCCGAGCTCAGCATGGAGTCTGCTTGAGATTCTCTCTCCTTCTCCCTCTGCCCCTCCTGCTCATGCGCATGCTCGTGTGCATGCTCGTGCACGCTCTCTCTCTCCCTCCCTTAAATAAATTAAAATCTTTAAAAAACAAACAAAAAAACCCCAGAACAGAATTTGAGGTCAAGTACCTTCCTAGCATCCTAGAGGCGGTGAAGCACTGGGGCTAAGGCAAAGCATTTCACGTTGGTAAAGCAAGGCATAGTTAGAAGTATGGACAAAGCCAGTAATGCATATACCTGATTTCACCGTGGCATAGTTTCTACTTTACTAGGAAATCTTCACAACAAAACCTTTACAACAAAAAGCTGAACAGTCTTTGAGACAAGCCCCTAGATATGAGCTTTGTTACAGGACAAACTTTCAGCCAACAATATCCACTACAGTGTCCAACTCAAAGGAGCAAAGCTGGAATTTGAACCCAGGTCTATAAGCCAAGTCCTTAACTACTCTGCTTTATTGCCTCAGTATTAATGAACACAGCCCCATTAAGGAGGGCACGTGATGTAATGAGCACTGGGTATTATATAAGACTGATGAATCACTGACCTCTACCTCTGAAACCAATAATACATTATATTAATTAATTGATTTTAAATCAAAAAATGGGGGGGAAAAGCAAATATAAAAAAATGGAAGGTGAAAAAAGTAAAAATTAAATTTAAAAATAAAAATAAATAAATAAAGGACACAGCCCATTTTCTCACAGTGTCACATTCCAGACTATATGACTACCAGCAACTCTTTCTTTTCAGAAAGGGTTCCTGAGAGGGATAGGCAGTATTAGCAACAGAGATACCAGAAGAGAAGTGGTGTCAGTGCAGGAACGGATTCTGAAAGGGCCAAGCTGGGTAACTGAGGTACAAAACACTGAGTAACAGAGACTAAAAATATTTCTAAGACTATGTTCGCATAGATGCACTCCAGTAGTATTAAAACTACCTTAGCGTTGAGCCCAGCGGTCCTGGGTCTAACAAGCATTCACGCCCTACCAATGCAACACTAGAGTGCCTTTCTTCAGTAGCAGTACAGAATGCATGGTGAAAAGAGATAGAGTTACAGCTAAAGATGTGTCTTACTCCTTGGTAAGGTGATACAAAGAATCACTGGCTTGGAGACTAGTTTTAGAGATGACTTCATATTTTCCTAGTACTGTACATTCATATTCAATTACATCTAACTTAGGAGAATTACTCAGCGAAAGAAACCAAGAGGATAAGAATATGACAGTAAGAGCCTCACAAACCTATTTCAGAGTAGGAAGCAGCAGAACCCCAGCTACCCAGAAGCAATTAAACAGTTACATCCTTCTTCCAACAGCCAAGTCACCACGTGAAATGCCCTACAACAAGCGTGGGCAATTGTACTCACCCCAGTGGCTCTGCGTTTCTTCCGCACACTCTGGCTGTCGTTTTGTTCGGCACCAGAGGTGCAGCTACTGTCTGTGGCTGCGTCTGCCAGACTGGAGATTCCGAGGGCTGGGGATGTATTTGATGATAAAGAGTTTCCTTCGCCATTACTTTCCTGGGTATTCTGGTTCTCTGAAGATGGCGTAGAACCCTCCTGGTTGTTCAGGTCTTTGGCCAAGTGCATCAAAGGTATCGTTCGGTCAGTGGACAACTGTGCACTGTGTCGCCTTTGACTAGCAACATTTTCAGCCCTTTCACCTGTTCTTAGGGAGGCAGCCAGAGGTGTCACTTCCTGCTTAAGGCCCAGGGTCGTTGTCTGACTCTGTGCAGCCCTCAATGAGTTACTAGGTGAAAAAATCTGCTGGGGCTCATTTTCTTTGCCTGTACCTTCCTCACTGAAGAAGCTATACACAGAAGGAGCCCTGTCCATGATCACACTGCTCTCAGAAAGGCTTCGCTTCCTTGCCAACCCAGGAGATGAAGAAATGGAAATACCCTCCCACTGGAATCCTTCTAGATTGGACAGATCAGGCTCCCCATCCAAATCCAAGACCTCTTGTTCATTTTGAACCAAAGGCACCATTTCTATGCCAAACCTTAAGAAAAAACAAAGAAAAAAACCATAAATCAGACGTGGGTAGGGAAGAGGGGGCACCACTTAATGAGATTACAAATATAAGTACGATGGTTTCTGCCCTCAAGAAGCTCACAGTCTAGTAAGTATTGCAGACACAAAGTAAATAACCATCTGTAAGTACTATCATGTAACAAGTACTAAATTAGAGATTTGTGCACAGTTAGGAGAATACATTTGAGGAAGTGAATATTGAGAGTTTTATTAGTATGGAGCTTTTCCAAACCAACAACAAATAATTTTTAAACAGCACACAAATCCAAACCAACCAAACAAAAATATTTACTGAGCATTCACAAGTGCCAGGCATGAGGCTAAGAACAAGAACTTTGTAATCTCAATATTCAAGGGATGGAAAAGGGTGCACAATAAATATGCTATTTCAACAAGGATAAAAATTTAAGCCTGAAGGGCCATACAATTATAATACAGCAGGTTGATTTTCACATAGCAAACCTGTGTTGAATGCTGCTTTCCCATTCAGAGTTTAGCACCTCAACCTAAGATGAATAGCCAAAATGCCACACAAGGACTTAAGAGAAAGTATTTTGTGATCATGAATACAATGCCCAGAGTATATACAGAAGGGTAACTATTTATAGATTCTGAGTAAAAGGTAATAAGAGCAGTGACACTTAAAAACTGTACTGCTCATTAAGATCTAGAGATAGATACAGATCTATAGATACACTTTTTCATGCTGTCACTTTCTGGCCCCTATAACTAAAGTGATGGATTTCTGATCGTCTTTTTCTACGTCCCCGTCTCATTTCTTTTCTTTTTTTTTTTTAAAGATTTTATTTATTTGACAGAGAGAGACACACAGCAAGAGAAGGAACACAAACAGGGGGAGTGGGAGAGGAAGAAGCAGGCTTCCCGCGGAGCAGAGAGCCCGACGCGGGGCTTGATCCCGGGACCCTGGGATCATGACCTGAGCCGAAGGCAGACGCCCAACGACTGAGCCACCCAGGCGCCCCAACACAGTAAACATTTTAACATGCTGTTAAAAGATGACCATGGAGTGCCTGGGTGGCACAGCTGGTTAGGCATCCAACTCTTGATTTAGGCTCAGGTCATGATCTCAGGGTCATGAGATCGAGCCCCATGTTGGGCTCCATCTGTGGAGCCTGCATAAGATTTTCTCTCTCCCTCTCCTGCTCTCCACCCCCAGCCCCCGCACTGGCACACTCACACTCTCTCACTCAAAAAAAAAAAAAAAAAAAGATGACCAGATGACCTTGGGATATGGTGCTACAACTCATTAGTAACCAAACCCATCAACTCTACCTCTTACATCTTTTATCCATTCTCTTCTCTTCATCCTTAGTCTGACCTTTCTACTTCATCTTCTACAACAAAGCCTCCTAAATGATCTTCCTGCCTCTACTAGTACCAGTACTTTCCTATCATCAGAATGACTTTTTCTAAAATACAAATTGGATCATGTCTCTCCTACTTTAAAGCCCACATGATGGAAGTCCACCTACATTAACAAAGCATATAGGGCCATCAAGAACTGGTCCTTCCTCATTTCCTAAGCTTTATCCTGAGGCTTAGCACGTAACACATGCTCAGTAAAGGTTTGCTCAACAAATGAATTTATCTTTGGATTAGGAAAGAATGAAGCCATATGAGCAAAAGGCAAACCTACAACTGGGTTCACATTACAGAATAGGCTATCCTCATGAAACCCTAAATCAGTTCTAAACCACATCAATGTCATACTCAAAAGAATTTAAGCTCATTTTTCATGGTGTCATTCTTAAAATGAGATAGACTAGTTCAACCTATGACTCATTATTTGGCCCCAAATCATCAGGCTTGGTTTAACTTAGTAGAGTTACCTTTTGGTCCTGGCACACTTGAGCCTGAGCAGACAGAATGAAGGCTCTTGTTTCACTTATACCAGAAGATAACAGTTTTTGAGTAGCAGCTCATTCTGTTGTTTTCTCACACAAGAAAGCAGGAAAATGTCTGCCTTCTACTTCTTCCCACACGCACGCCACTTTCAAGTGACATGGGAATGTAGCCTTCTCCCCCACACACTAACCTTTATGTTGAAGGTGACCACAGTGCCATTTGCCAGTCCTGCATAGAGGATTCGCCATCGACTATGGAGGCAGAGAACCCGATCTTCCAGCTGTAACTGCTCCACACACTCTCGCGTCTGACAAAAGTACACAACATCTCATCAGCAGAGGTTAACAGCAAATAAAATGTGAAATCAATCCTTCTTAAAGCAGAGTGTGAAATGATTTCTATGAGGAAGAAAATGTAGCATCCTCTATCCTGTAGAAGACTATCATAGATTTGGCCAAAGACCCTCAAGCTCTAAACAAACATTAACTCTAATAATGTCCCTCGTGTTCCTACTTTGGAATGCAGAAATTATTTGAAGGGCACTAAGAATTGGGCCTTAAAATTTTAAATTAAGTAGCCAAAGGTAAAGCTGCATTTGACATCTAAAAAGGAAAATAAAGGTTACAGTTGTATATTTGATACTTGCATTAATCATGTATGTGCTTTCCTGTAATTGATTCTCTATTTCAATAGTTCCCAAATGCCTCCTTCAAACCAGCGCTCGGTTGGCTGATCCATAATTAGCTGAGAAGCTTTTAAAATATACAGAACCCTTTGGGGTGCCTGGGTGGCTCCGCTGTTAAGTGTCTGCCTTCGGCTCAGGTCATGGTCCCAGGGTCCTGGGATTGAGGCCGACATCCAGCTCCCTACTTGGCGGGAAGCCTGCTTCTCCCTCTCCCACTCCCCCTGCTTGTGTTCCCTCTCTCGTTGTGTCTCTCTCGGTCAAATAAGTAAAAAATCTTAAAAACAAAAACAAAAACAATTTATATATAACCCCAAGCTTCATCCTCAACCCCTGAGATTCTAATTCGGTAGGCTCTGGAATATGCATTTTAAAAAATTTCTTTAGTAATATCCAGGTTAAATAAGTACTATTTGATCTCACCTTCAAGAAATGATTTCCATGAATTTCCAGAACTGGGTTATACTAGCAATTCTAGTTACCTAGGTAACCTGGCCCTGTTTCCAGTAAGATAGTGAGCTCTCAAGATTTGTTAATGAATGACACTAAGCAACTAAAGGCCCAAGTGTAGCTTTTAAACAGGATTGGAAACAGATGATAAAATCAAGATGGTTAAAACTGGATAGAATGAGACAAGCTGTGGGTAGGATGATAAAAGCTGTAGGCTGTCAAAGCTTTTGACCTCTTTCCCCAACCTTCTTTTATAAAGAGCCAGTCTCCAAAATTAGTCAATTCTCTTCCATAAAATTATAAATATAAATGCCATGTATAAAATTGTGAAATAGAAAGACAGTAAATATGCCCAAATGTTAAAATTCAAGTTGCCTCTGGTTAAGCCATGTGAGAGCTTTTTGTAGTTTTTATAGGGGAATCAGATATATACTGTAATAAAAAAGAAAAAAAGATTCCTTTTAAAATATGAATGCTCGCTGACAAGCACCTAGTCACCCAAGAAATCTAATGGAGATGTACAAGATTAATGTTGTTTTCATACTTGCTAACATCCGTCTGCAGCCCATGAATCGAGGAGTCATTTCGACTTCCAAGTCCTATTTTTTTTTTTTT